CCTGGGTGTTTGAGAAGGTGGTGGCTTCTGCGAAGGAGCGCAGGGTGCAAGAGCAGTTGGTGTTGCAACAGGGTCTCTTCTCCTTTCTGCAGATAAAGACTCACGCTGGATGGTGCATAAGGCATGGTGAACATGGCAGGGGGTGGAGAAGGGTCTCTGGAGGTGAGATGGGCTGGCAGCCTCGGCACTGCCTGGACCTGCAGGGACACAGCAGTGATGGACCATTACTGTCCTTTCCAATATTGCCATCTAGAGGACCCAGAAAGGACAAGAGCTCCTTGCAGGCCACAAGGAGACAAGGAAGAAGCATCAAAAGCTCACTTGTTTTTAATTTTACCTCACATAAATGCTTTCCCAGCATGGCATGGTGACAGAGAGCCAAGTGCGCAGGACTGTGTGTGCCTTGGGCATGGTGATACAGGATTGCTCTAAAAACAGCCCTGTGATTTTTTGAGGCTGTAGATAACCAGCGTTGGCCCATTTGCCACCACTTTACTGATCCCCACATGAACGTGGCCAGGTGGTACCACAACTTGACTGAAAACTGTCCCTCATCAGCTCATTTTCAACTGAACTAATAAAAAGGGGACTCTTCAGCAGGCGGTGGCTCTGTGCCCCTATCTGCGGTGCAAGTCCCCTTCTCCAGACCAGGCAGGGATCTGCCTCGTCCCTTCTTCCAGTGCCTCTGAACAGCACCTCGCCCAAAGCTTTTTGCATGGCTGCAATGACATGCCAGCTCATGCCCGGCGAGCCCGTCCCAGAGGATGCCTGCCTGCAGCCGCCTGCCTTGGGGAGGGCGGATGCACGCCGGCTGGTCTCGGCTACATTTCGGGCACTGGAGATAGCGCTCACCAACAGTGAGCCCAAGGGACTGAACCATACCTTATTTCAACAAAACAGTTCATTTGTAAGGGGTGTGCTGCACTTCTTTTGAGGGTTTGCAAGGGTAAAGAACTGCCAAAAGGCATTTGTTCAATTGCTAAACTACGTCCTTATTTGTTTTAGTTACGTGCCCAACTATGACCCAAGCCCGGGCTGGACGGCGTGCGTACAGCGGGATTAGCGGTGTTTACTCTGATTGTCCGGATTTTGAGGTGTGAGAGTGCACGGTGGAATTATCATCATTTCACAGCAGGAAATAAACACTGTTGTCTCCTGCCTCGCTCCTGTGACTTCCAGTAGCACAGGACACCCGCAACCAGAGCGATGCTGGACAAGCCCTTCTCGCTTGCGGACTCACGGTACTTTTGCGAGCTGCAGTGCAGGCTTTGGCAAAGCTCAGTGTGAGAGCTCAGGACTTGCTGCCCCACAGGAGGACCACAGTCCCTTTGGAAAGCAGAACAGACGTCCATCCCCTCGGCTGTCCGCTGCAATGGATGGGAGACAAGTGTGTCCAACTGGGTTTCAGGGGCTATGCTCCAGCAGCAACACAGAGCTATGAACAATGTATTTTTATACCATTCAAAAGATTAAGGTTGTCCTTTGTGAATCAAAGCCCTCAAAATCAGATTCCTGAAGTTTCTGAGATGCCCTCTACATTGAAGGATTGCAAAGCATTTGAACAACTAACCTCTTCAGCTGCTCTAACAGCACACAGCACCAAAAAAAAACGGTACAGACGGGAGACAGAGGGCAGAACCACCTGCCATGAGCTCAACTGCAAATTCAACAAAAACACGGGACATAAAAGCCCATGAAAGCTCAGGAGCCTCAATTTTGCAAATACTCAACGTGCGAGTGAGCAGCTGCCCCAGCTGGGTTTTGCTGCTCGTGGAGGAGCCTGGGCGCTGCAGCAGCTTTTAGCAGACATCAGCGTCTCTCTGCTCCCCAGCGCCTGCTCCTGCAAAGGAGGACGGCCCCAGGGCTGGGCTGTGTCTCAGGAGCAGAGGGGTGAAGGCAGCAGTGTGCACCCCAGCCCAGCTGCCTTCCAGCCCATGAGGTTCAGCATCTGCACCCATGGCTGCTGCCTCACCCGTTGGCCGTGAACAAACTAGTCGGAGAAGGTCGAGTGGCACATCGTCACTTTGCTACAGATTTATTTCCGTGTGAATTAATGAAACGGTACACACAATTCCAGGGAAAAAAAAAACAACAAACAAACAAACAACAAAAACCCAACCTTTTATAGGCCCATAATCCTTCTTTCACAGTACAACGCAACAGTAAAGGATTTAGTCAGTGTAAACAGAAGGTCCAATAGTGATCATCAGCTATCACAGATCAGCTGCACAAACACCACAACTACAGAGTTAATGCCGTTACCACACAAATTGACAGTACTAGTACAAATCATAACTTTACCTACTATGCTTTTTCATGTGCAAAACCCATGAAAATTCAATTTACAGAAGAAGGGCACCTACTCTAAATCTTCATGGGCGATGTAAACTGCCTCCTCAGGGCCGTCTTATCTATTTGGCAAAAGGTCTCAGGGCTCAGCTCTCCAAGGTACCCTTAACTTCATGTGCAGCACGAAAGCCATCAGGGCTCTGCATCTCAAACTCAGGCACTCGGGTATCCTCTGCTGCAGCAGGACAAAGAAAATAATCAGCTGCGGATGAATCTGAGTCATTTATTAGATCACTCCTGAATTTCAGCTTAGATTCATTCATTCACCAAGGCTATTCAAAACAGTCCTGGTTATATTGTGTAGGAATCAGGAGAGTTCACAGGTGACCCATAAAATCATAATTTGTTAACTCTTTTTTTCCTTAATGTATTAACTGAACTGCCACTGGCGTCAAAAGCTGAGTCTTACAGCAACGTGCTGGCAAGCTTAAAGAGAGTGGATAAATCATTGAAGTCAAAGGGTCAGAGAAAGACAGGAACGCTACCAAGGCTATGGCAAAAAGTTACGTGGCGGCCACCTCGCAGCGTTCCGCTGTTGAATCTGCACCTCAGCTGGGGATTGCCTGGGAGGAAGCCCTGCGCTGCCCTTCTGCTGCGCCGGTACGGCGCCTGCCGATGGCACCACGGGCTTTGGGGGGAGCAGAACCCTTCTGCACCTCTGGCTGCACCAACGCCAGCTTTGTAAATTGAATTCATAGTCAGACTACACAGGAAAAAACAAGAGGTAGGTAGATATCATACCTCTTCAAAAAGGCAAAACAAACAAAAAACAGGATGTAGAAGTGATGCAGTAAACCTAAAGTCGAGTACCTACTTTTTTTTTTTTCCTTTTGTTTTTTTAAACACATGAAGTTAAGTTACAGACATATAAAACGCACACTTTATGGATCCTGCATAGCAGGAAACAAAGAGGCTAACGCTAATCCAACAGCTATGTTAACAGCAAGACTGCCATTTACCGGTGCAAGGAAGATGCCCTGTCTAAATATAAACAGCGTTACCCCCCTTCTAGAGGAGTCCTATGGCAACACAACACACTTTGTTCAGAGGGAAAAAGAAAGCATTTTCTTGGGGATAAACTGCCAAAATATTTAGTTTCACATCGTAAATTTAAGGCAATGTTACTTAGACCTGAGAAAATGAAAAAAAAGAAAAGTTTAAATTTATTTTCTCAACTATACATATACAATCAAAATTTCAGTATTTCCTGTCTCCTCCAAATCTCAGGCAGTGCTGGGGAAAACAGTTGTGTGGAAACTGCTCTGAGGTCTCAGGGTCGGATCCTGAGAGATGCAGAGTTTGTTTCACGGAAAGCTAACGGGAGCTGTGAGTGCTCGAACTCACCCGGCTCTTTTTCATATATTCTCTTTTTAAACATCTCTGTTTAAGCCCTCTGGAGAGGGTTAACTCCAGAATGGGCCTGTAGTGCACCGGTAACCCTGAAAGGTTTGTATAGCAAAACTGCAGCTAAAATAGACAATAAAATTACATACAGTAAATTTCTGTGATTCCCCCTTTCCAGGAGAAAAAGAAGGACGTCAGGATTAACAATTTCACTGCACCTTTAGCCATTCCCATAACTACAGAGTAAATCCTTTAACACTAGTGTGAAATCGCAAATTGTTCTGTGCTCTTCCTTGGAAAATAATTTAAAAAAAAATAAAAATAAAAAAAAAATCAACTCGCAAACATTTCTCATTAAATGGTAAGAGACACGAGAGAGACGGAGTGGCGATTACAGACACACAGCATGCTAAGGAGTTACTAAACAAAGTGCAATGATTTTTGACTATACAGGAGGACGGACAGATGGACAACTCCCCTTCAGTACCACCTAGATGCTCGGCACCTCTGGAGAGGTGCGGAGGTACCACATCAATCTGTAGCCATAAAGCTCGTGTCGGAGGCTGGCCGGGCTCCACGGCCCCGCGCGGCTGCGGCAGCTCTGCACACCTTGGCTACGTCTGCGACTGCAGACGAGGGTCGCTCGCACAAAGACACAGTCGCTTCCCAAACGTGAAACTGAGTTGCCAATCGAGGATTTGATGGCTGGTTCTAGAAAGCTGCTTGAGCCACAACTGGAACACGGACTCAGCTCCAAAATCCGTGCGTGCCTGGTGTAGCTTCTGTGGGGTCACCTCCTTCTCCTAAAGATGACCACAGACACAAACCATCCCCCCTTCCTGTTCCCACCCGAGCAGCCAGACACCTGCAGTCCTTGCCATCAGCTTTGGCCAGTGCTTGCCGTTAGCCTGCTAAAGCAGGGCTTGGGCAGAGGGTCACTAGAAAGCAGAAAGTTTTGAGGTCTCAGCTCAGGTTCCCACAAAACGAACAAGTTTATCACCGGTCGCTGCCCGGCAAGAGGGTCTGTGGGCAGATTTTTCGCTGATATTTCAAATGTGACTATCCAAAGATCAGAGAACAAAAAAAAAAAAAAACAAATCAATCCTCATCTGAATAAAAGCGATTTCCATGGCTCGCCAGCACCTCCTACCCTTCTCTCCCAGGTTCAAAGGATGAACAGGGAGTCAGCTCCTTTACTTACCCTGCTGGGAACTAAACCCTTCGTCAAATCACACATTAAAGAAGCTCACTGTGTGCAAAAGACTCTTACGCTAAAACAGTTCCACCCTATACAGTGCAGTCAACACAGTTTGTAACTTAAATTTGCAGCTTGTTCTTTACAAGTGCTTGGCAGAGAATATTTATATTCTTCTGATACCATATAAATAATATTTATACAGCTTAGACATTTTGAGACATGCATTAGACTTTAGGTAGTACATTTTTCTTGATCATATATGCAAATATTACTGCCAATTAAACCGAGCAACCTTATGCTGGACCATGTCTTGCGTTATCCAGGACATTTGATGGTGGCTCCGAATCATCCATGGGAAGGACCAGGCGCGTTCCCCGGATTACAAGTTCATGGTCCCCAAAAGCGAGCTCCCGATCAAGCGCATCTTCTGAGCTGTTTCCCACGAACCGCCGCGACGTGCCGCTGGATGCGACAGAGTCGGTGTTGACGGTGGAATCTCCGTAGGTCAGACTGATGTCCCCGTCGTTCAAAATGAGGTCAGAGTCATCGTCCTTCAGCTGCTCTTGATTCTGCGCAAACAAACAGGAGGAAAGTGCTGTTTACTTCTTCCTGAATCGAAATGTTTGAAATCGCACGGTGGCAGTGAAGGAGCAGATAGAGGCATTGAATCACAGACTCTCCTGCACCATGAGCGTAACCTGATGTGCCACGCACACATCTCTGAGCCCAGGAGACTCACACAACACACTAACTTCTCTGCAGACTGTCTAAAAGGGCTCTCTTGGCTCTTCTTCCTGATGCCCCATGGGGAATGTAGTTTTGAGTCACTTTGACCGGACTAGAACACCGGTGACCACAGGAATGGCATCACCGACCCATCAGAGCCATCTCTGTTTCATGCAGGGAATTGATGCTGATACTTTGCAGCCAGGACAAGAAAACTCCTGCCACGGAGAGCTGCTGCTGCGAGGGCCTCCTGGCACAGCAATGCCCTGAGAGCTGCAGCCCTGCCCAAGAGCCGTGCCAGCACCAGCCACCCGCAGAGCCATGGGAGGCCAAACCTGACCAGCAGACCCAGCTCCTCAAAAAGCAGGGTACACACAGGCTCTGCAGCGGTGGTGGAAGAGGTCACTGCCTATAGGCTCTCCAAAGCTGCTTATCATCTCCCTGCCCCTCTGGGCTGCTCAAACAAGGGCTCTTTACCATTTCAGGAGAAAATCAGCCCCAGTTCAGATGCTGGCAACCTTTTCAGCTGCGTGTGATGCAGCTGAAGGGGCTGCAGGAACAGCTCCACTGCAAGACTGGAAGAAAGCCGGGGATGGGGAAATTGTGAGCTCTGGTGGAAGGACACCCATGACAGCTTCCCCGTGACAGCTTCATTGAGCCAGTCACTGAGGAACCATCATGAATACACCATGAGTCCCTTCATGACCAAACAGTCAGCTGGAAAAGCAAAATGCTCATGGGAATTAGCTCATCCATCAGCCCCAGTATCTGACTTTCCCACAGGCTCCCAGCTCGATGCTGCAGAGCAGCACCCAAAAGCTACACAGAAACGTAAACACGTCAAACTCCACGGACACCGCAACAGAAAGGACACCGATGGACTCACTTCGTACGCCTGCGGACTGGTCAGGCACCGGGCAACAGGCCCACAGCACCCTGGGAGCGTGGTCGTCAGAGGAGGACCGCTGTGTGTCAGCAGAGGCTTTAGATAGCTACAGAGAGGGTTAAGGAAGAAAAGAGGAATAGGGCCGTGTCGGTAAGTCAAGGGGTGGGATGCAGAGGCAGCAGCAAGGGACTCAGTGTCTTGAGGAAATCACCGAAAGGAAAGAAACACAAGTCCCTGGAAGCGCAAAAATTATAGGGACGAGCAACATGAAGGCAACCAAACATGGGGGGACATGAGCAGACCAGGACTTGCTCCTGCTAAGAAAAGGCTTCGCAGCATCACCCATCCCATCATCCTGTGGCTCTCCTGGCAAATCGCTCTTCCACTAGTTCATGGCAAAGCATCCTGGGCTGCCTCAAAAGCAGCGTGGCCAGCAGGTCGAGGGAGGGGATTCTTTCCCTTCCACTCTGTTCTCGTGAGACCCCACCTGCAGTACTGTATTCAGCTCTGGGGCCCCCAACACAAGAAGGACATGGAGCTGTCGGAGTGTGTTCAGAGAAGGCCACCAAGATGATTCAAGGCTGGAGCACCTCTCCTATGAAGACAGGCTGAGAAAGTTGGGGTGGTTCAGCCTGGGGAAGAGAAGGCTCTGGGAGACCTCCTAGCAGCCTTCCAGTACCTAAAGGGGGCCAACAAGAAAGCTGGAGAAGGGCTTTTTACAAGGGTGTGTGGTGATAGGACAAGGGACAATGGCTTTAAACTGAAAGAGGGGAGATCTCGATTAGATCTAAGGAAGAAATTTTTCACTCTGAGAGTGCTGAGGCACTGGAACAGGTTGCACACAGGAGCTGTGGCTGCCCCATCCCTGGAAGTGTTCAAGGCCAGGTTGGATGAGGCTTTGAGCGACTTGGTCTAGGGGAAGGTGTCCCTGCCCATGGCAGTGGGGTTGGCACTAGATGATCTTTGAGGTCCCTTCCAACCCAAACCCTTCTATGACTCTATGAGGAGGGGCACGGTAGCAAGAGGGCTACAAACGAGAAGACCCCCTGCCCTTCTGCCACAGGGATTGAGGATCCCCCTGGGCTTCCAGCCTTGGAGAGCTCAGCTTTGAACTAAACTACTGCCACGTTCCCACTGACAGTGGGTGGAAATGGTGACTTCTGATAGCCACATGCACAGGGAGGTGCAAATCAAAAACCAGCAGTGTGATGGGAAAGCAATCGCTGGCTCCTCTGCTAAGCGGGGAGTGAGTCACACTCTCAGTAAACAGAGCTGCTCAGGCAGATGGGATATGGCACAGCACGTGCCGACCATGATTCAAGGATACTTGTGATCGAAGTTGTACCACATACGGAAAAGCCAGGCGCTTTCTGCCTTCGTACTCCTCCTCTCGCTCTCCGGGACGCCCTGTGGGACAGCAAAACATTAAACAGCAGCAGGTCAACATGCCAAGACCTTCACCAGCGCCAGGAGCTCCCACAGGGCACCTGGTTATCCCCATGGGGACATAAGAAGACGCACAACTTCCCACCCCTTCTTCAGAAGAAACCTCTGGTTTGCAATAAGTATAAGGACGTTCACACCACCACAGGCTGAAGGTGCTTCCAGCACCGCGCTCTGTGTTTAGCAGCGTACAACAGCCTCAGGGAGGTGGTGTCACAGCACAGAGTGACCGTTTTTCTGCTAGAGCCTTCCAGTTTCTGGCCCCAAAAGGACAGGTTTAAGGGGCCTCAGAGCCAGCAGCTGCATCCAGATATCACATTTAATAGTGACTGACAAGTCCAACTTCCATCAAATCTCACCTGAGATTTTTGTATGCAAATAATTCTGTGTTATGGGGACTCTTGACTTCCTTTTAGTCAGAAAATATATAAAACTGTTTGGAGGGGACTATGAATACAATTACGCATTTCACAGAAATTTGGCTTTCAGATTTATGGCTCTAGGATGCCTTTAGCATTTGACACTTTCTCTCCAGGAGGTGAACGGCCCAATAAATGACTCTAAATAAAATGAACCTCCGAGGTGCAGAACCCACGCTGAATTCAATTAGAGCCACAGCCACGGCACAACCGAGCTGTAGATGCACAAATGAGACAGCTCAGGGCTACCAGGCAGGAAAACTCCCGATGCCACAGAGCTCCAGCATTCATCTCAGCATGGCTGGTGGATCCTGGGCTGCCACTTAACTACCCAAAGGAAACTGGGGGGCAAAAGAAAGGTTGAGGGTACCTGTGGGTAAAAGTGGGATGGAAGATGCTGCATAAAATGGGCCGGTAAATGGCATTTCTGTACTGCCCTGGATGCTGGGATGAGGCAGAAAGCCCTCGTGTCATGCACATTTTGATATTTATTTCAGACCCCGCAAGGGAGAGACTGAATTTCTCACGGCAGTAATGTGGACTGACTTAACAGCCCAGTGTTACTTCTGTGCCTTCTTTCAAACTGAACAAAAGCAAGCTTCATTAGAACCACAGAGGACACAGAAAAGCCGTAACTCCCACAGACTGCACTCTTTCACCAGAGGAGCTAAAAACCCTCCTACAGCTGGAAGGGAGTAGAGCACAGGCAGGGGTTTGGGGTTTTTTTTGTACACCACATTCACAGGGTCTCGACATAACCCCTGCAGCGACAAACGCAGGGCAAATTCCCCTAGAGAGGCTGCCCAGCAGCACCGCACTCACCACATTCTCCTGATCCGCATCCACACCAACTCTGCGGAGGAGAAAACAAGCACAGGATTAGGACAAGTAATGCCAGGTGGGTACATGCTGCAGTCCAGGGGCACATGATCTTCCTCTTGTCTTTTAAAACCAAGCACCTTAAGGTAAAAGTGGGACAAGGGAGAGAGGACATGCTGTGCCAGGAGAGCCCCACGCACGCGGCACTCACCGGATATTCAGGCAGGACAGCATGGCCGTGGTGCCCCCACCAAAAACCCACACCGTAAAAAAGACGATGAGGAGCGTTGTGCTGAACATCATCTGCCGGGCGTAGGTGGCCGTGTCGCGGATGGCCAAGGCGAACGCCATGGCTCCTCGCAGCCCTGCCGGGAAGGGACGGGGGAGGAGCTGTGTTAGCCCACGGCACAGGCAGCTGCCCCACCCGGGATTTACATCACACTGCCCCACGGGCAGTCCTGTCCCTCTGATGGGACATCCACCACCGGAGGAGACCACAGTGCTGTAACAGTGACGATTTAAGCTCAAACATATGCTGTGAAAGCTGAGGTTATCATCACAATTTCCCAGCTGAGAAAGGCAAATCCTCCTCCTGCTCCACGCCATACACTCAAGCACATTCCTACATCTTTCATCATTGGATGAAGCTTTGGGCAACCTGGTGTAGTGGAGGGTTTTCCTGCCCATGGCAGGGGGGTTGGAACTAGATGATCTTTGAGGTCCCCTCCAACCCAAACCATTCTATGATTCTATCTCAAAACAAAGACGTTCACACCATGAGCCTAAGGGAGCCCTTTCCTCCCAGCCTCTTCTCCAGACATTGCCCATAAGAGATTTAGAGTTGAATAAGGACTATTTCCAGGCACTCAGGGGCAAGGAAGTGCAGATGGGCCACATGATTGGAGGCAAGGATGCAATAACGTACCGGCGAACATCATCATATGCTGCAAATTTGTTCCAATCTTATTTCTTCTCCCCAAATTCAGTAAAAATGACAGTGGATAAATATTGGCAGCTCTTCCTAGGAAGATAGCAAGCTGTATTTGCACACGTTAAGGAAATGGCTCTTCATACGTCTCCTATCGCATCCCACCTCTGCACACAGCCGATTGCTGCTGCCTGACGGAAACACTGGGGAGCCTCAGAAACACCATCCTCTGGATGCAAAGACAGCAACCCAGCTCCACGTGCTACAGAAGTAGGGAAGAGCATCGCCACTGCCTCATCAGAGCAAAGTGCCCATTGCAATTCAGAAATATCATACAGAGACAAGCACAAATAAACAAGGGAAATGACGAGAGGGCATGTTAGATGAGAGAGAGGAGAGAAAAACCACCATTTCCCACTGTATGCTCTCCCCTGCCGAGTCCATTTTCCACCCCAAGAATTATTTATCCTCTGCAAAGCTCAAGTTATCACAGCTACCACAACCCCTCTGACATCTCCCAGCATGCCACACTTCACAGCTGGGTTTGAAGCTTTAAGCCAAGTCCCATTCCCAAAGATTATTCAGCAAAATGAAAGCAGCAGCAATTGAGAAAGAAAAGAAGAAACACAACTAATACTCTTTCTGTTTTCATAGCCTGCGAGATACAAGAATCACCAACCCTTCATATTGCTTTTTATCTTTGAAGCTGTGTCTTTTAATACCAGCACCCAGATGGCAAAAATAATCTTGGAGCCAGTATTCAGCGCAGCCTTGAATAATATGGAAAAATGCTTCCAGCTTTTATGTTCTTTCCTGAACATCATGAATTTGCATAAGAGACGTATTTCATGATCTCTCTCATGAATGAGCTATTTCATCAGCGAGTTAGCCAGTTCCTACTGAAAAGGCACAGAACAAAATTTCAATCTAACTACCCAAACGGCATTCCAATGCCTTCGCTCCCTTTACCCCACTGCAGCCCTGCAAAAGCTCATTGGGGAAATTCAGCAGACCCATGTGCCAGCACTGGCAATGATAACAACATTTTCTTTATTGGTATAAACCTGCTTCATTGCAAAGGGTGAAAATAATTGTGCACATCTGAACTGGCTGCCCTGTGATATGAAAAAAATTCCTTCAAAATCCTGTTTTTCCTGAAACATACCACAGCCAATGGTTTGTTTCCGATAGCATCAGCCTGTAAAAGGGGAAATCCTTTCTCATGACATCATTCAGAGGCATCTACTGTAGCTTTAACTGTGCTATTTGACCAAAAAAAACCCCACCTTTTTTCAGGGTCAACCAAATAGAACAGCTGAGAAAAGAGGAAATAAACAGCTATACCAGGAGGTCTCCATTTGCAAAGCCACTCCTGGTGCTTCGGCACCACATCCACGTTGAACGCTGAGTCCCTGCAGCAGATAATTGGAATGCCCATGAAAGGAGACAAGACGGAAGAAAAAAAATCCAAATAGAAAAGCTGGGAAAAGAATCTCCATCTTCTTAAAATAACCAGCAAAGATACCACTACACGAGAGAAATCCCCTTTTAAAAATAAAGCTAGACTGACTGAAAAATGCCCCACGCATTTGAAGGAAAAACACAACTTAGGAATGAGGCACCTCTCCCTTTCTCTTCTTGTCTTATAAGATGGGCTCCAAAGGATACAAAAGCCCCCACGACGAAAGTAGGGTTAAAGACATGGTTCTGGAAGGTGAACAGTGCAAGTCCCATGTAGGAGAAGATGAAGTTTTCTGCCAAGAAATTCAGAAGCTCAAACAACTGAAAGAGAAAAACAAATTAAAAGTGAGTTAGATATAACACAGATTTAACAAGAAAACATGTTAGCCCATCCATCACACAATAAATACTTCTGCAGAAGCAATCCCAGTAGAATCCATCTGTAGAAAGACAGATGCACCTAATTCTGGCTAGAGAGAAAGAAAAAATAACCAGTTTGAAATTCAGAGAGGCTGAAGGGGGCTGAGGAGCTCTCACCTGCTTAGTTCTATGTTGGGACTCTGTAGATAAGTTGTTATAGGTATAATGGGCCTGCGTGATCCCGCAGAAGAGGACAGCCACCACACCTGGGGAGCAGAGCATCACGTTAGACTCCTGGTCATGAAAAGGGAGCTGAGCTGCACCCCAGTAGTGCAGGGGACTTAATGCAATAATCCCAGAACCCAGAATAACTAAACTTCTGAAAGCAGAGGGAGAGCCCTGCCTGCAGTTGATACTGGGAGAAGCAAAACTCAATGGGCTCATGAGCTCTGCAGATCTCCATCCCAGACGCAGGGCTGTGCTGGAGCTTGCCTGTAAAGCCACACGCTTCAGCCAGCAGGAACGTGCTCCAGGACATCAAGAAGAACAAGCCAGTCTCCAGCAGCGGGAACTCCCGAAGTTTGGTGAACTTGGTGACGTTCCAGATGGTTAAGGACAATTTGGAGAGAAGCTGTAGGCTAAGAGCATATCAAATCCAGTTGTGTATCACAGCAACACTACACGGCCTGCCCCTAAAAAGGCTATGGCACTGTCTTTCATTAATTTAGGCAAAAATTACAGAACACTGCATCTGAGTAAGGTGCAGAGCAGCAAAAAAAGTTGTTAAGCAAACACTTGGGGAAAAAAAACACAAAAAGGATATTAAAGCTGTCACAACTCCAGTAGCTGCTCCCATTGCAAAAGATCCACTGAATATCCCCAGGAAGATCCCAATGGACTTGAACATCGCTGTGACATCAAATGTGTGGCTGTTGTCGCCTGCCGGCTGGTATGCAACAATTGAACTGGAAGAGGGAGGAAAAGCACACACAAGAACAAAACTCTCCTTAGTCTGGAGAGAGAGGCACCTCCACAGTGCTACGTGAACTTTGCAAAGTGCTACGACCGCTGCAAACACCGAGCCTGAGAAACCAGGGAGACAAAACCCGAGTCCCACACTGCAGTCCCTCCGCATTCACAGCGTGCAGCAGCAGCACGCTCACCCTGTCCCAGTGACTCTGGGATCCCCTTCGCTCATGGCCAGCTTTCTGCAGCTCAGCCACCCCTCCCAGGAAAGGCTCTGCATTTGCTCCTTCTAGACAGCAGAAAGCACCGGAGCAAAGCCCATCTCCTGCATAACCTCCCGCAAACACATTTGCAAGGTGACAGCCCATCATTTATGATGGCATTTTGGGGGTTCAGCATCAGCTCTATAAAGTCAGGCACTCTGGGACCACAAAGCATTCCAGTGGGAAGCCTGCACTTCTCTGTCGACTCCACAGAGGCGGCTGATGCGAATACCCCCCGGAGAGCTGTAAGTTATGCTGTTTCACCACACTTAGTGTGCACTACGTTGATTTTGCACTGCTCTGGAGTTCTGAAGTGAAATACTGCAGGGTAGTAAGGTAAACAGAACAACACCGGTTCCCTACAGCAACGCTATTATCTTCATCCACCAAACTCCAACAGACCTTTGTGACGAGACGGCAAATAGTTCTGCTGCACTGATTCCTTCTCTGAGTCTGCTCCCTCCTAACTCTCGATGAGCTGAGCCTTGCATCAGCTGTTCTACTCAGAAAGGTTGAGATAGAGGGATCCCCTATCCATCTCCTAAATTCCATTTTAATATTGACTCCTTACATTGTTTTCTTCAATATAAACTTACTGAAAACATTAACTTCCTAGTTAGCAATCCCTCGGCTGGCTCTGTTAAAACTCTTGGATGCGAACTTTAAACAGTTGCTCTTTAACCTCCCAAGCTTTGCTGTTACAGAAAGCTACTGTCCCGGGCACACATCCTGCAGCTTTCTCCCTTAACTACACACTGACATTTTTCTGCAATGCTGATGACAGTCCTCCCCTTTCCAACACGTCACGGGTCACTTCCCTTGCTAAACTTCCCTGCTTTTCATACATTTCATTTCTCTGCATTGTCTTTTACACTGCAAGCCACAGATTTGTCCCTGTGATTTAGTTTCTTTCGTCAGTCCCATCCTCTACTTCCCATTCACTGACATGCTCTTATTCTGGGGTTTGGGGTTTTGTTGTGTTTTTTTTTAATTCAGACTGGTTTCATTTCCCCTCCATGACCCACTGTTTGGATGTTGGTTTTGCGTTTTAACCCATTACAGTTTTCCTTCTGTTTTGCTTTTTGTATCACTAACAAGACATTATTGCCAGCTGCCCTTTCTGTGCTTTATTTCCCCTGCCCACGGGGCTCCCCACAGCATTTAGCCCCTGTGAAACCTCCCTTCAGAAGAAGCAGGCAGAGATCCTGTGGCTGCATTTACCCCACTGCTCCCAAACCACAGACTCGGCACCTCACTGCCCACCGACTTTCGGTTCTGGGTTCAATTCCTCTTCATCCTGCAAGCAGCACCCTGCCAACGAGCCAAGCCAGGCCAGGATAGCACAAGGAAGGAACAGAAAGGCACAGATCCTGCTCCCCAAGGACTGGAATGGACATTTGTTCAGGACTGAAAGCAGGGAGGAGAGGAGCCTTGGGGGCATAAACGGTGGAGGAGTCCCAGCCTGGGGCAGCACCAGCCCCCAGCTCCTCATCCTTCTCCAGTGCGGGGATGGTGCTCACAGCGCTCCCTTCACCACGCGCAAGGAGCTGACGGTGCTTCTCCAGGCAATCACTGACCCTGCGCACTCAGACGGCTGCAGCTGGAGTCCCTCTTCAACCCTGGGACGAGGTGGGACCTGCCACCAGCTGTCACCCAGGCAGCAGCTCCTCCATCAACACAGCCCACTCGCCCAGAAATCCCCTGATTCTCTGACTTCCCAAGCCGGTCCTGCACCTTCTAACTGGGGAGCAGGTCTTCTGCTTGTGGGAGCAGAACCGTCCCCGTGTGGTTCCCCCACTTACACCTCTGCTGTGAAACAGGCAAATTTCAAACTAAATTTTAAAAAGAGTGAACCATAAACAGGAGCTCTGGACTGCTCTTGGAGGAGTTCTCCTTCCTGGAGCACAAGAGGACCTCACCTCCTCCTTGCACCCAAAATGTGGTTGTGTCCAAGTGACTCGAGACTATCCTTGAGCTTCCTGCACTGACCGATACCCACCGTGCTGACCAGGGCTGCCCTATGCCGTTACGGTGACCATGAAGACAAAGAACATGGCAAGCTTTAAAATGGGTATGGGTTAACTGCTGAGAAGCCCTTGAGAAGTCAGCATGCTGCTGGGCCGGTCTGCACAAAAGCCTTGCAGCAAAATAACTGCTGGCTGCAGCTCAGAGCTGCTGTTTTGGTGCAAATTATCTTATTTCAGGGAGGCGGGTGGATTGAACTCCGCTTGCAAAAAGAGGAAGGCAGGAAATCAGAGCAACAGCTACAAAGCTGGTACTGAAACAGTGCAAGAGGCAAATCGCCACGCAGGGTGCAATCACCTGTGCGTGCAGAGATCCACCACAAATTTCATTACTCGGATTCTGAAGCCATCCACTCCCACTCAGAACCCCCCAGCAGAGGCTGGAAGACCCCGTCTCCTCCCCACTCAGGATCACATCTTAAACATGACCTGGCTGTGCAGCAATTACTCTCGCACCAGCAGTGACACATCCAGCATAAAAGCCTGAATGAGCAATACAAACAGTTCCAGAAACCTCAACAGAAACATTCAATTCAGTAAATACAACTCCTGCGGGTGGCGATACGCAGCTCACAATATGCTACTTGCTGCCTCCACCTCAGTAAAACCCACGCAACCAGCACGCCGGAGTGACAAGTATTCCAGAAATATTTTCTGCACTAGTCTTAGCTATACGTTAACCTGTCACCATTGCAGATATTATATATTTCCAAACAAATTCCCATGATGACAACACAGTGAAAATGAAGATAAAATATGTCCTACATGCAGAGGACATAAAATATTGAAGAATATAAAACATTCTTTAGAAAGCCAGCAAGGTTCCCATGTGTTCAGTCCAGGGTATTAAGTCCAGCTGTAAGGAATACCATCTTCTTGATGCACAGAAGTGGGGAGAGAAAGGAAACAGCTGCTTTACCAACTACTTCCACCTAAACAAAAGCAGGTATTTGTGGATGGGAAGGAAGGCAAGCAGGAGCAAAGTCACCTGTGAGGGGTTTCAGTGAGTTCCTGTGGCTGAAAAGCAGCCACGATGCTTTTTACGCTTCAGAGGGACATAAAAACTTCCTTCTGGCAGGGTCAACCTGCCATAAAAGCAAAACAAAACTATCCATCATGCAGGGGGAAGTTGTAAGGACAACCTGCAATCCCAACGAGCAGGTGCATCTGAAGGCCACTACATCTTATGGGGACGCATTATGGAAATCTGGTCTTGCAAATATCGATGCTCCTATTTTACAGGAGCAAGGCCAGGTGCCCCTCCCCCCCCGCAGTGCCTGACATGTAACATACATAACAATTAAAAAAAAAAAAAACAGAACACACTTACGAAGACAGCACTATGGCGACGGCATCATTGAGGACGCTTTCGCCAAAGAGAAGGGCATACAGCTCAACATCAACCTGGAGTTCATGGAATATGGCAAGAACAGTCACTGACAAATAGAAAAATAGAGAGACATTTAAAAAGGTGCCATTACTTTGGTGTAATCAAAGACAAAACACTTCTTTTTAGGAAGCTGCCTTCCTGCACATCTGTGCCACTCTGCTGCGATGGTGCCGGCTGCTCCCTGTGCTTCCTCTGATAGCCCTGTCCTTTAAGATTTGGATTTGCTTTATCATGTCCCTCCTCCTCCTTTTATTACAAGTCATCCGAGGCATTAGGTCTAGTAAGTCTTTCATGGGGAGACGTGAGCAAACTCTGCTCTGAGCTTGTGGGATGGACCATGGTACCATGCTGGCATGAGCCATCCAGCTTTTGGGATGCTATTAGTTCAGAGCATCAGGGAGAGCCTTCCTCCACCTGCAGAAGGCCAGGAGGATGCAGGCTTGTCCTTCCATTCCTGATACTCCAAGAGAAATCCTCAGATTCAACACAGGTTGACACGCCGGAAATGCCAGCACAGATGTGTTAACATTTCAGACGTAACTGGAAAAAGCCAGGCATCGGCTCAAACCCCACGTGGGGGTTTCCTGTGATTTACAGCCACGTGGCAGAGATCAGAGTACCCTCAAGCTCTTTTGCAATACAACAGCTCCAAGAAGATAACAAAAACGCAGCAGGTTTTGCGTATCTGCCTTGCAAAAATACCACATCATCTAAAGCAAGCGAGATGTAACACATGGTGCCTCACGCACAGCTCCGTCTGCTGCGGAGGGCTGAGCTAATTCCAATCAACTTCTCTGAAAGTCCTTTAAAGCAGCTCATCTGCACACAGAGAAGGGAATTTAACCCATTTACACTTCATTTTTATCTGTGAAATCTTCTTACTCCTATTTCTAAGCCTGAAGAAGGGGCACAACACCAACAGCTCGTCTACAGCGTTTCTAAGCATTACTTCTACCTGTGGTCCTTGCCTGGCCTCTGCCCATCTGCCATCAGACCTATCACACCGCCGTCACATCTGCGAGGTGCTCCCTGCTTTGCAAAAACGTCCCCCCTCTCAGTGTTGACACCCCAGCTAAGTTACAGCAAGGATGCTCAACCTCCCAGCCACAGGGGAACAGCTCCCCACTAAATGAACCAGTGGCCTGAACAAACATCCATCCAAGATACTCTCAGAGAAGCTGGTAAATCATTTTAGCTTATTCTTTAAGGTTTTTTTTTTAAATAAAAATATCAGCAGTAATAGCCACACCACCACCACCTGACAAATCTTAGGGAAACATAAAAAAGAAATTATTAACAACTCATGGGGAATGCACATCTCACATCTCCACCTGGCAGACAGATGTGGCTACTGCCACATTACGCTGCAGGTTATGTTCTGCAGCGTTGCTCTTGCATCTATGCTTATACATACATTGCTCCTCATTTTGCCTTTGAAAACAGAAATAACTCTTTGTTAAGATGAGCAGGTAAAAATCCCAATTCATTTCAAAAGGGCAGAAGACTTGGCTTATCCACATGTGCAACTCCTCCCTTCCAAGCAAACCTGACCAATATCTGCGTTTAAAAAGATCCCAAGCTACTGCAACATTGGGAAGAGAGTGATGCTGCCACTCCCCAGCCCCACCACGCTCATCTCAAACATGGTAGCCAGTCTGCACAGGAAGACATTCAAGCCCTGTTCAGCAAAGGGCAGGAGGAGATAGAGGACTTTTTGTGGTAAGATGTTTTCAGGTGAAGTTGGAACATGCAAATAAACAGCTACGGTGTAAAAGCAATTGTGAACTAAGTAAAATTCAGTTGGACAAGGCATGTTCTTGATAGTTCTGATTTATAAAGTGCATCAATAGACCAAGATGTCACTACTGTCCTCAGTGCTGCTCGTTAAGATCAATTTTCAATTAGATTAGCAACTTTCAAATCTCACTTGAACGGAAGTGGAAAAAAATCGCTAAACTAACTAAAACTATCAGCTGAACCCTCCCCACATTACACATCTTGTTCTGTATCAGCCTTTGGCACAGAATGGTAGAGACACAGCGGACCTGTCCCAAAACCCAGCAAAGTCGAGAGAGAGACTGTCTAGGACTTCACTGCAAACAAAGATTCAGGAAAGCAGAGGTTTGGAAGGTATATGACACGTAACTGGAAGGAAATAAAAAGGCATGGAGACAAATCCGACCTCTAAGAATGTCACAAATAAATTAAACTCCAAAATTCAGGAGGAGGGAACTTGCAGGGGTTTCAGACTTTCTTTTGCTCTTTGCCACAATTCAAATTAGATCAAATAGGTAAAATGAGGGAAAAAAAATAACTATCTAACATACCTGGGTCAGTAGCTGATACGATGGCACCGAACAGGAGGCAGTCAGTGAAGTAGAAGTCTCCCCCGAGCTGCCCAGTGACTTTCATGAGCGCCACGCAGCCGTACACGACAGAGCTGGTGATTAGAAGAGGCAATTACTCATCTCTGCAGTGCATTAAAACAACACTCAAACAGGCTTGATTCCCTTGAATTTGCCAGATTAACCTCTAAAGTTATCCAAACGCAGGAACACCGAAGAACTGTACCGCATGAGCTGAGCCTGGTGATACCCCAGCATCGCACACACCACAGCACCCACCACACCGGAGGACAAACACGGTGCTGGAGAGGAACCAGGACCACAACTCCGCCATGAGCATAACATGGCTAAGGAAAATCAGCAGCCAGGCTCACGGGGTCTCGCAATCACTTTGCGGTGTTTCACATTAACACGTTTCAGCAGAGTGACCTTGGCCTGACTTTGAAATGGCTGAAACTTTCAGCGAGGAACAGATAATGTGGATGCTGAGTTTGCCTGAATCCACCGGACTCTCCCGTGGAAAACACCCTACGCCAGCCTGCACGCTACTATTCAGAGCAGGAATCATCCAGCTCCCTCTGTGCAGAGGGATGATTTGAAACACAATCTGTCCCCAACTAGGCACCTGCTTCCAGCAAGTAAGGACAGGACGTGCATTTATCTGATCCTGCGCTCTACTCGTGTCTCACACTTGTTAGGGCTGTGCTTTCAAAAATTTGAAGTTGCTGACTGTTTTTTCAGGACGCTATTCAGAGAAGCGTGACACTTTCCTCGCCATGAATATAACTATTCTGTATGGGACGCTAAGAAAGCGCTATGCAACTAGACAGCAGTCACTGTCCACACAGAGAAAGTCTGGAGAGTAAACAGTATTATTTGCCGTTGCTGAGCAGTGAGAGCAGAGATCCCGTGTGATCTTTCAGGGCTGGCATTTGCAGCCACAGATCCAGGCTCAGAGTGTTGCCTCTGAGCACAGCCCAGACCCCTGCAGAAGAACCACACCAGATCCAACTACTCACCCGATCACCAGGCAGGAAATTGCAGTGCCGAGAAAAGCGTATGCTAGGATGGATCCCAAGTTTCTGAAGAAATGCCTCTAGAAAGAGGATAAAAAAAAAGAAACCAACTGAATTATATTTTGCTAACAATTTATTTCAAGCCTCCACAGGCACCCACACAGTGTCCGTAGCAGCTTGCACCTAGCTCAGACGCCACGAGCTGGGCAAGCACGGCAGAACAGTGCCCAGCACAGCAGTGTACACCACCAGATGTTAATGCAGCACTAATAAATATGGATATATCATTTTCTTGCACCTGTGTATTTAACAAGGTGCTGTTCCGAGTCCTGGGAACCGATTTCCTAACCCAGCAGTATTCCTCCTTCCTTCTCCCACAAACTAAACAGGATCATTTTCCTCTCCTTCCAAATCAGCATTTCAGAGAGTGGCTGCTTTCCAAAACTTTCCCACCCTCCTACGTGTTTTGAAAGCACGGGTGGCTGAAACGGCCCGGGTGACCTCAAAAACCCCTGCGCAAACCCACACTGGAAACAGTTGAAGTCGCTGACCCTTCCCGGAGCAGAGGGATGGACGAGGCTGGCTGGGGCACTCTCAGCCCTGAATCCTACAGTCCTGCATGTACTGGGGAAAACCATACCCAGCTCCACAGCCTGGGTCTGCTGAGCAAGCATTAAAGCACTCTCAAGTATTAAAAATGCTCTGGAGGCAGAGAAAATAAAAATGTAGGTGCTGTAAAGACACGTACCCTTTTCAAGCTGTAGCCTGCATAAAATATAATTGGAGGAAGCAAAATGTTGAAAAATACTTCAGGATCAAAAGTCACCTGTTAAGACAAAAAAAAAAAAAAAGAAAAAGCAAGCAATAAAATGGTTTGTTAAAACTTTGCAAGACAAAACACAAATAAGAACGCCATATAAAATTTATGGAGGAAACCCTGTACCCCTGCCAGATGAAATGCTGCCGCGTGAAGGCTGAGGATGTGTCTGGAATCTTTTGGAGACACAGCCCAGAGTCTAAACAGCTCAAATTAAGATCAGCTGAAACTAGAGTTTCATTACATTGTGTTCGACTTACTTACAATTTATAGCTGATCACAATCTGACTGAAGTTAAAATAAATAAATAAATGAAATAAAATCACTTAATCCAGCAGATACCAGACCCATCCCCATGGAGGGAGCGGGGAGCATTGCTCACCCCTCCAGTCGCCCACTCCCTTACCTTTCTCAGCATCTCATTATCCTGGACGTTATTGAGCTCCTGGGCGCTGATTTCCCCCTTCAGGGTGTACTCATAGTACTTTCCGCTGACGTTCACGAGCAGCGTGGCGGGACTGGTCTGCACTTGGCAGCTCAGCGTCACGTTGTTGACATCACTGGGGACGTGGATGCCGTAGCGCAGGACCACGCCGACGAGGACCCCTGGGGAGGGACACATGTCGGTGAGAGGAGCCACAGCAAACTCCCAGGACAATCTCTTTGAGTACAGATGCAGCATCAGGCACGCCAGGATCCTGACTCTCTGCTCCGCTGCTGAGCACAACCACCATCCAAATAACTGCCTGAGTGACACTGAATTATCCGCATCCTCCCATGAGCCATGCAAATGCTCCATGCTCGTGCGGACTTTCTACCATCAGGCATGAACTGGTCCAAAGGCTTTTAATTATCCAGCGATCAGCCAGACCCTCGCTCTAGTGCAGTGAACAGCTGACACTGAGGGCACGCTGGTTTTCTTAGGGTGAGCACCCTGACATTGCTGGCACACAGCTGGGGACCTGGGCAAGGCGCTGCTCATGTGTGCCCAAACTATGCACATTGCACCTGGAAACCAGATGGCATCACTTTTTGACACTACAGAAATACATTAAACCCTTCATTTCTGTAAGGGATTAAAAAAGGTGCCAAGCAACCATCAGAAACGCTTTGAGGACAGTGAACATCCTTCGTAAGACGCTGCAGCACCGTACAGCCTCCTCCCGCACCAGTAAGCTTCCACAGCACACAGCAGCGATCTCATTTTATAAAAAACATGGAAGTTTTGCCTTCCAGGATGACGTCTGCTCCTCGCCCCCTCCAAGCTTCAGCTCTGCACCATGCGCAGCAGTCGCGGGGCAGCCCCACGAGCCAACACTGCCTCCGGCTCAGCTGCTGCGCAGGGGCATGGTGGGGTGAATTCTCAAGTCAGCAACTTACATGGCACTTTTCATTTGCAGCACAGCGGATGAGCTGCCCTCTGAGGACTCACATCCAGGATAACGGCATTCACATGGTGCAGGCTCCACCGGCTCCTTCTCACCCGCCCGGTGTGCCGAGTGCTCTCCCGGCAGAGCTTTTTGACATCTGCAGGCTGGGGAGGAGGGATGTCCCACAAGACACCTTTCCACGTAGCCTTCAGCACAAAAGGGTGTGGAAACTCCTTGATTAAGGCAGCGCTGAGCCACCACAGAAATCCTGGATCTTAACCCCATCTCCGAACCACGCATTTATGAAAAGCTTTCAGACACGTGGGAACTAAACAGAGACCAAAACACTCAAAAGGCTTCTCCATTTGCCTCCCAGGACACTCCTGCTTCTTTACTGTTGCCTTAATTAAAATCTTGCTCTGTACTTTCCTACAAGCAGGGCATAAACCCGACTGAAGGGAACACCAAACTCTTCCTCTGATACCATCTCATGGGAGCAGAGCCTGGACAGGAGCTGTGCCGCAGCTGGGCAGGAGGCTGCAGGACCCTGGCACATACAGTGTCCCCTGCAGCCAGCTCCCGATCTGCCACACAGTTTTTGCCTTCTCTTCCCTTGACAGCAGTTTTCCAGGACAACATTTGCTCCTTTTGCCGACGACCAGAAGAAAAGCCCCCACCTCCCATCCCAGGGGATGTCATGCACAGCAGGACCACCAAAGCACGCATCCAGGCCACGAGCAAAGGCAGAAGAATTGGCTGCAAACAGACTCACTGCTGCTAACTCCAGTTAGTGTGTCACACAAGTGACACAGACGGCTCATCTCAAGGACCAGGCTGATGGACTCAGGAGCTACATCCAAAACCCAGTCCCTGGTCTAATACAGCACCTCTGCAGCACAGCTGAGCTGCTCTCGCAAAGCTACCGATGCTTTTAAGCCATGCACAGTCGACCACTTGCTCACCATATCCTTTGGGCTTTATCCAGCACAGCCCCAGTGGTGCAGAATTGCCCCAACAGGAGCAGGAAAGGTCCCTCTTGGTGCACAACCAGGCACGGCCAGCTCCAGTAAGAGCTGCTTCAGGGAACGTCGCACTGTGCAGAGCATCTGAGAGCTGCCTTTACACCAGCATCATTAACGGGACACCAAAGAGGAAGCCTTTTGCTTACTTTTCTGCTAGGCTCTTTGTTCCTGTTATCTTCCAGTGCTCCCGAAATAAAAAGTATGGAAATGAAGGCAAGGATGTCAAGAACGACGAGATGCCACAGCACATCTTTACGTGAGCATGTGGCAGCAGGGTGCATGGCACCACAGCATCGGGACAAACACCCAGGTTTCCTTTCACCCAGGAGATGATGACGCCTGAGGTACCACAGGAGACAACCAAAACCCTTCACTGGGATGAAGCAAGCTTCAGAGGGTTATTTACACCTGCTTACAACTACTAAGCAGCTTTTAACAGTTACAGTGAGAATCCAAGTGAAAGGGAGGAAAGCCAGACCTGAGACCTCATTTTCCACCTTCCCTTGCATCTGCTCCTCCAATCCTACGGAGCAGGCAGCACCAGGTACACTGTGCTCTGCACCCCTCCAGACCTACCTGGGGTGGCTTTTAAAAGGTCTTTTTTTTAAAGAAAAGTTGATTTTAGAGCTTCACGCAGGAGTCGGAAACCTCCAGCAGCAGTAGCTGCTTGTCTTTTCTCAGCTGGAAACTCATCCAGCAACCCCTTTAAATGCCTGGGCTCAGCACTTGGAGATGAGAGGCTCTGCAGGAGGAAGGAGGGATGGACTGACGGACATTGCTGCTGGGAATTCAGAAGGGATCCTGGCTCACTCGCCTCTCAGTTCTTAATCCCTGTCCCAAAGCGGCGCTACATCGATAGCACCCCTGCTCGTCCTCGCCATCTCGCCTAGCCGGGCAGCTGTTCCTGGCCCCATGTGCCGGCTCTGGCCACAGACGAATTCCCACTCTGCCCAGGAATGGGATAAAGGGACAGAAAAACCTACAATATCTAACCTACATAAACCAAGACCACTGTGCTTGGGGGTCCCAAAATCAGGCATTTTATTTTTCCCCGTAACAGCTCCCAGAGCTCTCTGGACCAGGGCAGTAAAAAGATGCCCACATGCAAATACACACCCACACAAAGAGCTCCTGGGCACTGAGTGTGAACCAGCCAGCACCACGCCAGTGGCTCCCGACCCAGAAGAGATCCCATCAGAGTTATTTACAGGGAAAACACGCTGCTGCTCTGCTTAAAGCCAACTATCTGCCAACACGCAGATGACCCCACCACCGGCCCCTCCTGCCCAACACTGGATCTCTAATCAACCCTCCCCACCTAACTTTGCTCGCTGGAGGAACCTGGGACAAACCCAACTCGGATGTCATGGTTTTTCAGACACCAAACCCAGTCCTGGGCTCAGGCTACCTGGACCAAGCCCAAGGGACTGTGTAGGTCCTCCTGGTTCTCACTGTCTTGGGAAATGTTTCAAACTCTCAGCGCTCGAAGGGCCATCCTAGCAGCAACCTGTGAGCCGCTCCGCCAGTATCGACATGCTTCTGTAGCTGAAAGTTTTACAAAACTGAGCCCTGGGAGGGAGCAGAGAGGAGGGAACCTGACACCGAGGAAGCTTGCAAGCTTCTCTACTAGAAGCTAAAGGCAAAGCTGGTAAATTAATTGAGTTCTTTTATGCAAAGTGCAAGAGATTATTTTCATTGCATTTCTCCCAACTTCATTAAAAAGAACAAAAGCCCATGGGCTTTTTTTTTTTTTTTAGGTGCTGTTGAACATTTCCGAGGTAAGGTTTTAAATGAAGACTAATATATTACCATCTGGGCACTTAACAACAATGGAAGCACACGAGATCCTCAGGCGAGCATTAATCTGGACACCAAAAGGAAAAGAAAAACGTAGTGAGCAACTGAAGACATCCTGACAACAGGCAATTTAGGCGCACGCAATCCGGGGGCCAAGTGGGAACGAGTACAAGGAAACTAAACTTCTGGAGAACCTCCTGCCACGTTCACCATCAGCCCCCGAGAAGAACTGAAACAAGATTGTTCATTTAATCGTCCTAAATGTTGAGTACCTCAGATGTGGGAACCTCATTTTAAACACTGAAACGATGTTTAAGGGCTACTAAACACCGACTGTCTGTCACCACGAAGTGACTCCAGCCTGTGTCCAGCTCTTGAACATCAGCTCCGAGCCGACAGTGTGATTTGTAAGACACAAATCCACCCGGAGCGAGAGCTTATAACTTACAGTAAAAACACAGAGACCAAGGAAACTCTGATGTATTTTGGCAAGAAGAGATGTATGCAAAAGTTTTATTTGACGTAGCTGTTGGTTGTGGTTTTTTTTTCAATCAGAAAAAGACAAGCTTTTACAAATTGCTTCTCTTGCCCAGGTTTCAAGGTCTGTTTTGCAGCCTGCCTGCTGCAGCACTTCCACATTTTCAGTGGACTTCCCCGGGGCTGAAAGCATCGCGGGGGGCTGAAAGCATCACGGGGGACCGGGGACGGCGAAGCAGAAGCGGTACTTGCTTTGCTCCCTGCAGCTTTTAAGTTGTTGCTGTAAAACAACAGCATCTCACCACTCCTTGGGAAATTACACATCCCATCCCTTTTCCTATGGCAGCTGTCACAACCTGAGAAGCAAATGCCAAAAGCCTTGATAGCAAGGAAAAACCCGGGATCTTCTGCATGACCAGATGGGTGACATCACCGATTTTGCCAGCAATTCTCTAAGCACAGTCTGCAAAAGAGCAGACAGAAAAGATGCATTTTGCAGATCAGCAGGAGACTGAAATGACCCGGGTTGTCCTCTGAGATCAAGGGGAGCACTCAGGTGGGTCAGGGAGAATGGAGGACCAAGAAGAAGAAAACTCCAGGAGAAGAAGAACAAGGTTAAGGGCAAGTTTGAAGGCATGAAAGGAATAAAAGTCCATGCATCAGTGAGCTCCAGGGCAGCAGGAGAAAGAAGACTTTCTGTGCTGGAAGCATGCGCTGCCACAGCACAGCTCCCATCCCGGAGAGGTGACCACCCCTGCCCCAGCAGAAGGCCAGCAACGCCTGCACCCATCTCAGCCATGGATTGCAGGAATCTGAAAAGGCAGACCAGTACTTTGTGCCTCTGGGCTGATGCAAGTGCCTCCACCCCTTCGTTTGGAAGGACGCTTCCAATGAACTAAAACTTAGGATCACAAAAGCCAAGGGCCCAAACAGGTCAAAGTCACAGCCTTCGGAGC